CCTGATGACCTATCAAAAAGACCTTAAAACCCCACAGAATGTCATTTCAGTTCTGGGTGTTGATACATTCTGAGAATTGATTTTTTCATATTCTTGCATCAACAGAATTGCCTTTAAGGGGGAATGTGAAATCTTGTTATGAAAGTTAGGTGGTTCAAGGAAGACTTGGGGAACTTTTCCTAACGACAATGCTTAGCACCTTTTGGAGCAGACAGTCTCAGATTAGTTGTTATAAGGAGCAGGTTTATCAGGATCCTTTTTCAATCATCTTGTGGCTCAATTGTCTTTTTTCCTTTTAGTGCACTCAAAATGGCCAGCAATAAAAAAGTACATTTAACCTATCAGCATGCTAACCAATAGGTCACCTCATCACTATCAGAAACTCTTAAATTTAAAATCATTTAGTCATAAATTAAGGACTGATCAACATCCTTAGAAAGAAGAGCCAGAGTGCAGGTGAAGCAGGTATTTGGAAAACTATTAGATCTCTTGTACCCTCTGGCATGTAGTACATGCATGTGATATGCTTACTTTCATTCTCAGTCCATTTAAATGGTGTCAGCTTTACATCAAGTTTGGATAGTATCAATGAAAATGCAGAAAACAAAGGAATGTTCTATGTATCTTAATAAACCAAACCAACAAGAGAGACACCAGTTAAAGAATACTTGCTTGCTTTTAAGGAAACCACAATTTTCAAGCATTCTGCCTCCCCTAAGAACACAGGTACAGATAAGGGTATCTGGACAATTTGCCCCTCAGACGATTCGCCCGGACAATTAGCCCTCAATTTTTAGACAATTCATCCCCAATGTGAAAACACCAAAGTTACTGATTTACAAAAGAAAAAGAGAGCGCAACTGCTCTAGCTAGCCAGTCAACTGAATTGTTCATGTCAATTGTGGATGAAACAAGATTATCTACGGTCAAATTTATAAGTCTAACAAATGGCAATCGCATTCTCTCGCATCTAAAACCAAAGAACTGAACACGAAGCACCATCTTATGTTAATGCGATTGACAATCCGTATATCATTTTGGTTTTGGTTAACTTGAATAGTCAAGCTTTCTTTTTCTTCCAAGAAATAATTACTTTGTGACAAAAGCTAAGTTTTCTACAATAATTAAGTTGTCTTCACATTGGGGGTGAATTGTCTAGAAATTGGGGGCTAATTGGCTGGAGGGCAAATTGTCTGACATTCCAGATTAGTAACAGTGAACTGCTACCTGACCATATATTGATTGAGGATAAGGAGGGGGAGGCCTGCTATGGATTATGCTGCATTAAGAGGAGTGCCTTCATCCTCAAAAACTGAATAACATAAGCATTGGAGGATGGACACACTTGGCCTGAAACTTTATTACATTTGTATAAAAATTAACACTGTATATCAACCTTTGTTCTTCCCACCAAGCCACAATGTCAGTCCCCCCTGTCAATTCCTTCACTTTCCCACCCCAAGCACATACCCAAGTACAAAATAATAGTGCTAACAAAAAAGCTCAGAAATGAGGTTCACTTTATCAGTGCAGTATCCTGAATTATGGACATTGTCGTGTAGTATAAAAGAAAAACAATTTTTAACTGTTTCACTCTCAAGATTTAATTATCAATCCTCATAACTATTTGCTCTAAATTTCTACTAGAAGAATTTGGAGTTTAAAACAAAAAAGATCTCCCAGTTGAGATTTTGCTAACTTCTCCTTACCTATCTGCACAAAAATGTATTAATATTAAAAGGAGAAGTTCATTTTTGGTCAGTCCTTGGAGTGTAGGGTTGAAGGGCCCAAATACTTCAACTAAAAGACATGCTGTAAGCTAATAGTAGATACTGAAAATACCAGATATTTACACTGTAAAAAAAATTCAACATTATTTCTTATGTATCCCTTGTAAGCTGAATTTTTGACATTAGAATCACAAACAATTCATTAAATTCATATAAAATGTAAAAATTAAATCTAGCAAACTCCATATAATTATTTTTAAGTATATATTATTTGTACACTTACAGACCACTTTAATAACAGGATTCTTTTTATTTCCTTTTACCCAATTTTTCAATAAACATTAATTGAATGGCTGGAAGACAATAGAACCTGCATTTCAATTGTTTCTAAGGGCAAACACATTTTTCCAGTATTATAAACTCATTGTACTGCCATACAGTTTAGCACAAGGCTTGTCTGTAAATCAGTTGAAAGCTGGAAATATATGACAATTTTATCACATCTTTCAGTTAGTATGAGCTACATGATTGGTCAATTTAGTAGGACATGTTATATCTCTCAGTTAGTATGAGCAACACGATTGGTCAATCTAATGGGCCATGTTATACTTCTCAGTAAGAATGAGCAACATGATTGGTCAATTTAGCTGGCCATGTTTCACTGTACTGCCCACAAAAGTTTGTTTGAACTGAAATCTTCCTTACTCTGTTTCACCCCAGAGAAATAATAAATATCTTTCTAACTTCTAAACCTTGTTTTCCAGGTGTGTGCTATGAGTTTCAGTACCTTGTTTCTCCTGCTCAGATTTAAGGCCTGCATGCTTATGCTTGGGCTTTAACTCAGAGCAGAAAAAAATTAGTCTGAAACACACATTGCTGACCTTGAACTTACTTAGTAAGATATATTAAATAGTTAAAAAAAATTAAAATGTATTGTATTACAATTCCAGCACTTTGATTTGTTTATAAGTAATGGTACCTCATCTCATTTACTGAAGCCCAAAAATATGGTCCTGGTGTGGAAAAAAGAAATAACCCTTTTACATTGTCTGCAGAAAAGTTTTGAGATATTTCCTTGAGTTAATGTCACAGGACTATTTAATTGCACTCTCTGTCCTTGGACAGAGATAAGTAGACTCAATTCAGCGGTAGGTACCTTGTTGGCCAGCAACTCATTAACTTATGCTTACTCTTGGAAAAATAACTGTTAAAGATCACATTCACATTGTTAGTCATGTCAACCTTAACGTCACCAGCAACAGTCGTTTACCTATGTCAGAGACATTTAACTTTGGAGCCTGTTGTGTTGCTGCGGGATGACTTTGACTTGTTGTACTCATTACATTTGATAAACATGGGAGTCAGTCTATTCATATATCCAAAGGATTTGGCAGTAGTGGGGTTCTCTCGCCACCATTGTTATTTTCATGTCTGCAGTTCCTCTGACATATGGGACATGTCTCTTTGATTTCCATCCACTTCATTATACACCTGAACATTTCAAACAGCAAATGTGTGTGAATGGATAATGATTGTGAAACTTAAAACATGTATGACTATTGAAATGGTTACACTTTAAAGTACACCCAGGTAAAATTATAGAGGATCAGGAGTACTAATCTTCAATGAACAATAAAAGAAGTTATGAACATGAGGGAAAAACTGAAATTGACTCACTTGTGATGGTAAGCATGGCCACATCTACAAATGCTTATTTCTTCTTTGTGTTGGAAATCATCCAAACAAATTGCACATGTCTAGTAACAAATAAATCTACTGTCAGAAATCCTGGAGAAAATGTAAAACCTGCATCTACAACCAAAGGACCAGGGAAATTTAATTGTAACAAGGAAATTTATCAGATCATCAAGGCACACAGCAAGAAAAGAGGGCTACTTTGAGTGTACATGATGCACTGCACTTACATATTAAGTATTAATTAATAAATCAATAAACTTATTAATCAACTTATTTGAACTAGTTATAATTTGTCTTGAGTATACCCCTGTAGCTCTTTGCCACATTTCCCCATAATACAGACACCAGCTGGCAAATATCTTAATCTATAGACTTACATCACTTTTCAATGAAACTTTCTTCAACCATTTCTTCCTGTAATTTCCCTTTGAATCAAAATATAAAAAAATCCAAGTGGTGAAAACAAAATCTATGAATTCCCTCAAAAATATGAGAACTGTTGATAAGTATCTGCAGCAAAATCTTGTTCATTTTTTCTACAGTTATCAAATTTCGAGAAGACGCCATATGGAAAAGAATAAAATTGATAGACAGTATTAACTCTACAGCTACTTAGAATACAAGAAAGTGATTTCTCTTTTTCTGCTGGGATTTATGACTCATGCACTCTACTCCTGGGCCATAAATCTCTGCAGAAAAAAATTGTTCCATCACTAACAGTACAGATGAGACTCAGTTTGTGAGAGGTATACTCTTAATGTACATTCTGGCATGAGACACCATGCAACTTATATACTTAATATATAAAGACTGATCTTTCAAATATCTCAATTAAAACCTAACAGACTGTAACTTACCCGCCTCAAACCATCATATCTGATTCTTCTGGGAGATTCTACATCAATATCATAGTCATCCCTCATTGTCCTTAAAAAAAAAAAAAAAAAAAGAATGATCATTTTCATATGACATATCACTACCACAGACTACCTCTACAGGAGAATGTTCCTTAATTTTTGCAATGCAGATTCCTTTAACCTCTACCACTAGAGCAGTTTTCAAATTAGTATCAAAGGCATTCTGGGATGGCTTTGGTTTTGCTTTACTTCACTGAAGGACTGGTGCAGAAAACAGGCTCTACTATGTCAATGGACCAATCATAATCTAAAACCTATGGTGCCATTGTCACTGCTATTTGCTGCCGTTGAGACAGTTTGTTTAAGTTCTCATTGGCTCTTTGTATTTTTTCCCTTTCCTTTGATTGGCCATTGTGAATACTTTAGTTTTGGTTTTAAAACAAACAGTCTTCATGTGCTCCATAACCATAAACACTTGTACCAATGGGCTCTGTGAAGAGTTGTCTATTTCAAGGTCTACTCAAGGAAAAGAGATGGGGATGCTAATTCAAAACTCACTTAAAGGCAAAATGCAAGTCCTTATAATA